TGGGCACTGATAAGCGGCACTGACAGCACCAACTGGAGGCACTGACAGACGGCACTGACCGGCGGCACTGCTGGGCATCATTGATGGGTGGCACTGATGGGCAGCACTAAAGAGGTGTCACAGATAGGTGGCACTGATAGGCGACACTGATAATGGGTACTGATAGACAGCACTGATAGGTGGCACTGACTGGCACAACCGCTGTGCACTGACTGGTGGCACTGACTGGCAGCACTGCTGGGCTGCACTGATGGGCACTGGTGGGTGGCACAGGTGGGCGGCACAGGTGGGTGCACTGCTGGGCACAGGTGGGCGCACTGCTGGGCACAGGTGGGCGCACTGCTGGGCACAGGTGGGCGCACTGCTGGGCACAGGTGGGCGCACTGTTGGGCACAGGTGGGCGCACTGCTGGGCACACGTGGGTGCATTGCTGGGCACAGGTGGGCGCACTGCTGGGCACACGTGGGTGCATTGCTGGGCACAGGTGGGCGCATTGCTGGGCACAAGTGGGTGGAACTTGTGTGTGGCACAGGTGGGCACCGATCATCAGGGCACTGATGATCAGTGACCCTGATGATCGGTGCCGATCCCTGTTCTGACAACTGCCGGTTTTCGGCAGTACTTTCCTCACGATCTGACAGCGTGAGGAAAGTGCAGCCGAGAACCGGCATTTGCATTTCCCGGTGATCAGCGTGTCATTGGACACGGCTGATCACGTGGTAAAAGGCCGCTGTGATTGGCCTTTTACCATGTCACGTGATCAGCTGTGTCCGCAGGACACAGCGATCACGGAGATCGCCCGGTGCGCGCCCCCGGAGGTGCGCAGGAGAGCGCGTTCTCTTCCTCTTCCTCTCTTCCTCCTGGCGTGCCCACTGAGATGGCTCTGCGTGCCATAGGTTCGCCATCACTGGTCTAGGGGATCCCCAGAAACACAGCCAAGTGAACAGGCTTGCAAGCCCACCAATTTACCAAACACACACCAAAACCTCTACAGCTTACTGGGGTTCTAGTATTGGATAATGAATAGTTGGAGTGAGGCCCAAGAGACGGGTAGGGTCTGCAGGGATTCCACAGGGATGTCTCCAAGATCTGACATATCAAATAAAACACTAAACCACACCTTCTTGTGCCAAGCCATTTAATGATCACATTTGTACTGGTATTGTACCGTTGAATAGATGGGGCTAAAGGCCTGATAGGCACGCAGTCAGGGTCTGTAGGGACAGAAGGAGGTCTCTGAAGACGAACTTGTGTTGAAATCAGCACCAAGCCCCACATAGACCGTTTATCAATCTAATATCTAAACCTCTACTGGCCACTGAGGTTCTGGTATTTGACCATTCAATAGCTCGGGTTAGGCTCAATAGACTATCACGGTCTGCAGGGACAAAACGATGTTTCTGAAGACTGACTTATGTCAAAGTCAGCACTAAACCACACCCCTTCATTGTGCTAAGCTCCACCCAACACTCACATACCTAAACTTTATTGACCACTGAGGCTCTGGTATTGGACCACTGAATGGATGGGGGGAGGCCTGAGACCAGGGGCAGACTGACCATTTGGAAACCCGGGCACTGCCCGAGGGCCCGGGGTCAGTAGGGGGCCCCATGAGATGCCCCTGGTACCTTTTTCATAGGCTTTTTTGAGTTAGGGCAAGGACAAAGGGGCCCCATGATCCCCTATTGCCCGGGGGCCCCATGAGTTGTCAGTCCGCCCCTGCCTGAGACATTAGGATTTGTAGGGGTTCCACACAAACACGGGATATCTCTAAAGAACCGATTAATATTGAAGTCAGCACTAAAGTACACCCCATCCTTGTGCAAAGCACCAGCCAGTCCGTTTATCAATCACATACCTAAACCTCTACTGACCACTCAGGTTCTGGTATCAGACCGCCGAATGGTTGGGGTGGGCCCAGATTAAAAAAAAAAAAAATGTCTGCAGGGGCTCCACAGTGACACAAGGATGTCTCTAAAGACTGCCACATTAAACTACAGCTCCTACTTGTCCCAAGCCATTTAAAAATCACAAACCTAAACCTCTACGGACCGCTGAGGTACTGGTAGTGAACCGTTAAATGGGTGGATTTAGGCCCAACAGTCAATCTGGGTCTGCACAACATGGATGTCTCTGAAGACTGACTTGCGTGAAAGTTGGCATACCCCCTCTTTGTGCCAAGTCCCACCCAAGCCATTGAGCGCACGTACCTGAACTCTACTAACCACTGAGGTTCTGGAATTGGACCGCTGAATGGTTGTTGCGGGGCCTGATAGACAGCCAGGGTCTGAAGGGGCTCCACAGAGACACAAGGATGGCTCTATAAACTGACTTGTCAAAGTTTGCACTAAACCACCTATCTCTTCTTGTGCCAAGCCATTTAAAAATCACAACGTCTACTGGCCACTTAGGTACTGGTATTGGACTGGTAAATGGTTGGGGTTAAGCCCAATAGACAATCAGGGTCTGCAGGGACACATGGATGTTTCCTGAAGACTGACTTACATCAAAGTCAGCACTAAACCACACCCCCTCCTTGTACCAAGTCCTACCCAAGCCATTTATTGGACCACTGAATGACTGGGGTAAGGCCTGACAGACATCCCAAACACAGGGATATTGCTAATGACTGATTAATGTTGACATCAGCACTAAACCCCGCCCCCTCTATGCGCTAAGCCCCGCCTAAGCCATTTAACAATCACATGTCTAAACCTCTATTGACCACTGAGGTTCTGGCATTGCACCGCTGGCGTGAGGCCCATAAGCAGTCAGGGTCCTGTAGGACAGCAGTCCCCAAGCTTTATGGCACCAGGGACCGGTTTTGTGGAGGTTCTGGCATTGCACTGCTGGCGTGAGGCCCCATAAGCAGTCAGGGTCCTGTAGGGCAGCGGTCCCCCCAAGCTTTATGGCACCAGGGACCGGTTTTGGTGGAGGTTCTGGCATTGCACCGCTGGGGTGAGGCCCCATAAGCAGTCAGGGTCCTGTAGGGCAGCGGTCCCCAAGCTTTACGGGGCCAAGGACCGGTTTTGTGGAGGTTCTGGCATTGCACCGCTGGCGTGAGGCCCCATAAGCAGTCAGGGTCCTGTAGGGCAGCGGTCCCCAAGCTTTACGGGGCCAAGGACCGGTTTTGTGGAGGTTCTGGCATTGCACCGCTGGCGTGAGGCCCCATAAGCAGTCAGGGTCCTGTAGGGCAGCGGTCCCCCAGCTTTATGCCACCAGGGACTGGTTTTGGTGGAGGTTCTGGCATTGCACCGCTGGGGTGAGGCCCCATAAGCAGTCAGGGTCCTGTAGGGCAGCGGTCCCCCCAAGCTTTATGGCACCAGGGACCGGTTTTGGTGGAGGTTCTGGCATTGGGACCGCTGGGGTTTGGTGGCCCCATAAGCAGTCAGGGTCCTGTAGGGCAGCGGTTGCTTTACGGGGCCAAGGACCGCTTTTGTGGAGGGTGATTGCCCCGCTGGCGTGAGGCAGTCAGTCAGGGTCCTGTAGGGCAGCGGTCCCCAAGCTTTACGGGGCCAAGGACCGGTTTTGTGGAGGTTCTGGCATTGCTTTACGCTGGCGTGAGGCCCCATAAGCAGTCAGGGTCCTGTAGTGGAGGTTCTGGCATGGTGGCATTGCACCGCTGGGGTGAGGCCCCATTAACAGTCAGGGTCCTGTAGGGCAGCGGTCCCCCCAAGCTTTATGGCACCAGGGACCGGTTTTTTGGTGGAGGTTCTGGCATTGCACCGCTGGGGTGAGGCCCCATTAACAGTCAGGGTCCTGTAGGACAGCAGTCCCCAAGCTTTACGGGGCCAAGGACCGGTTTTGTGGAGGTTCTGGCATTGCACCGCTGGGGTGAGGCCCCATAAACAGTCATAGTCCTGTAGGGCAGCGATCCCCAAACTTTATGGCACCAGTTTTGTGGAATTTTTCCTGACCCGGGGTGGGATGTGGTTATATGGTTTTGGGATGACCAGAGACAAACATACAACTGAAGTAAGATGCTCACTTGGCACTAGAAATCCACCAGATACAGCCTAATTGTCAGTTTTCATAGGAGTCTCTGCACAGTCAAACCTCTCTGTATGATCTGCATTTGCAGCCATTCCCCAGCACTAGCACCACCTCCACCTCAAATCAACAAACATTAGATTCTCAAGGAGCACGCAACCTAGATCCCACGCATGCGCAGTTTTCAGTATGGTCCCCACTCCTATGAGAATCTAAGGACGTCGCTGATTTCACAGGAGGCGGAGCTCAGACGGTAATGTAAGCAGCTGTAAATACAGACTGATCTTCGACTGCTCGCCCACCACTTACCTCCAGTTGTGTGGCCCTGCCCGCTCACCTGTGTGGCCCGGATTCTAACAGGCCACAGAACTGTAAACTGTCCATGGCCCGAAGGTCAGGAACCTCTGCTGTAGGGTTCCACAATGACAGATATCTCCTTATGACAGACTGACATAACTACCTGCACCGTTATCTATTTAGATTTTAGAGCCCGACTCTTTAAGGATGCTGAGAGTCAAATATTGATTCCCAGATGCTACATGACAAATGTTGAAAAATGTTTTGTCATAAAAAATCTGCTTCTGTTCCTCATTGTCAGAAAGCAGAAAGATGGACGGCTACAATTGGATCCATCAGAAAAAAATGAAGGAAGGGGTTTCAATGTGTTCTGATAGGAATCCCTCATAGAGGCACAAAATACGGTGCTTATGAAAGGGTTACCACTGAAAGAGAGAGATCACCAGCAACACATCAGCACGATTCTGAAGTAATCTCTTTTCTTAGCAGATTTATTTTTTTTTTAAACCAAGAAAATAAACCAGCAAGTGGGATAAAATTAAAAAGAAAAAAAAAAAATAATAAAAAGAGACCAACTAAGAGACTGAGCGGTGAGGACGTCACACTCTCCTGAGTGGGAGAGAGAACGTGAGCTCCTTGTTGCCAAGACAGCTGCTGTTGCCGTGGAAACCACACAATAACAAGGATCCTCGGCAGCGACGTAGAAAACTCACCTGCACCGTGATCCCCTTATTCTGATATTCTGCATGCAGACCCTGGGAGAAGAAATCCACAAACGCCTGGCAGAGGGGACCAAAAAAAAAAAAAAAGAAAAAAAAAAAAGGAGATCAGTTATTGATATTCATCAGGTGAAGAGAATGTTTTCTTATTATTTAACTGTAAACATAACAAACACAAGACAAGTAACAATGTAGCATATTAAACATGTCTGCTAAAATATGCAATAAATGGGCAAAAAAATGAGGACACCTCTCCGAATTACTGCATTCAGGTGACTCCAGTGAAGGGTACTGGCTTAGGCCTTATTCACATGGCTGTACTACAACATACGTCCGTGCGTGTGAGAGCCGTGTTTACATCATGGGGATACACAGGTGTTCCAAAGGCAGGCAGGCCCATTCAGGTCAATTGGGACGCAGGGACTGTAAGGACACAGCCGCTGTACTACAACATAAGTCCGTGTGTGTGAGAGTCCGTGTTTACATCATGGGGATACACAGGTGTTCCAAAGGCAGGCAGGCAGGCAGGGGCCGTACGGACACAGCCGCTGTACTACAGCATATGTCCATGCGTGTGAGGGCCGTGTTTACATCATGGGGATACACAGGTGTTCCAAAGGCAGGCAGGCAGTCCGCAGGGGCCGTACGGACACAGCCGCTGTACTACAACATATGTCCATGCGTGTGAGGGCCGTGTTTACATCATGGGGATACACAGGTGTTCCACAGGCAGGCCCATTAAGATCAATTGGGTGTTCCACGCAGGAACCGTAGGGACACACGCAGCCACTGTACTACAACATAAGTCTGTGCGTGCGAGAGCCGTGTTTACAGCATGGGGATACACAGGTGTTCCACAGGCAGTCCTATTGGGACGCAGGGACCATACGGACACAGCCACTGTACTACAGCATACGTCCGTGCATGTGAGGGCCGTGTTTACATCATGGGAATACACAGGTGTTCCAGAGGCAGTCCCATTCAGGTTAATTGGGATGCAGTGGCCGTACGGACACAGCCGCTGTTCCCAATCTGACATCCAGGCAGGTGTGGGTGCATGGCCCCAAACAGGCAGTATGCATTCAGGGCTGTGCACCCACACAGATATCAAATTGGGTGCAACTGTGTCCTTGGAGCCGCTGTGTCCCAACTGAAATGAATGGGACTGCCTGCAGGGGGATGCACAGAACTGTGCATCCTTGTGCAGGTGAATAAGGCCCTCCCGTGGGCGTATGCTGTAGTACACCTGTGTGAACAAGGCCTAATTAATGCCAAACCATACAAAAACACTTTAGAAAAACGTGTGCCCTTACTACCTTGTGGTAACAGTGTGGGGGTGACTGTGTGCCTGCGCACAAAGCAAGCTCCATAAAGGCAGAGTTTGATGTGGAGGAACTGGAAAGCTCTGCACAGACCCGACCTTAACACTACTGACCACCTTTGGGATGAACTGGAACCCCGATAATAGCTAGTCATAGATGGATTGAAACTCTGCTGGTTCAGCAGGGACCGGCCAACATTTGATCCATCTGTGGTAGGATGGCTATACCAAAGCAGGGGCGGACTGACCATTTGGAAACTCTGGCACTGCCGAGGGCCCGGGGTCAGTAGGGGGCCCCATGAGATGCCCCTGGTACCTTTTTCATAGGCTTTTTTGAGTTTGGGCAAGGACACAGGGGCCCCATGATCCCCTATTGCCCGGAGGCCCCATGAGTTTTCCATACAAAAAAACAAAACGCTGCTCCTAGAGGAGTTTAGAAGTATAGTGTCTTGCCTGTAGCAGCAGTGCAATGTCATCCTACGTGCCCATGCACATTAGGATGTTTAGAGGCGTATTTTATGCTCAGTGTTTAGAGGCAGAAAAAAAAAAAAAAAAAAACCTTCAGGTTTTGCATTTTTGAGAGCAGTTTTCAGGCAGAAAAAAAAAAAAAAAAAAAAAAAAGCAACACCTTAAAAACGCACCTAAACGCTAGGATAAAAAATGCTCAGAGTTAGCCATTGTGCATTGACCCTAAAGCTGAACTCTAACCCGCAAAATACTCGCCTTCATCTGGATACATGGTACAGAGAATGTACAGCAGTGCGACTATTTGATATCTCGCCGACCTCTTCTCCCCGGGTTCCTTTTGAGAGCCAGGGTTTTCGGCCTCTTGATTGGTCAGCTGGTATGGCGCGACTCCCGCACATGTGCATAGGAGTCCTTCATCCTGGTACACTGGCGTGTTACAGAGAATGTACGCTAGGAGTCCTCATCCTGGTACACTGGCGTGGTACAGAGAATGTACGCTAGGAGTCCTCATCCTGGTACACTGGCATGGTACAGAGAATGTACGCTAGGAGTCCTTCATCCTGGTACACTGGCGTGGTACAGAGAATGTACGCTAGGAGTCCTCATCCTGGTACACTGGCATGGTACAGAGAATGAACGCTAGGAGTCCTTCATCCTGGTACATTGGCATGGTACAGAGAATGTACGCTAGGAGTCCTTCATCCTGGTACATTGGCATGGTACAGAGAATGTACGCTAGGAGTCCTTCATCCTGGTACACTGGCATGGTACAGAGAATGTACGCTAGGAGTCCTCATCCTGGTACACTGGCATGGTACAGAGAATGAACGCTAGGAGTCCTTCATCCTGGTACATTGGCATGGTACAGAGAATGTACACTAGGAGTCCTTCATCCTGGTACACTGGCATGGTACAGAGAATGAACGCTAGGAGTCCTCATCCTGGTACATTGGCATGGTACAGAGAATGAACGCTAGGATCCTTCATCCTGGTACACTCATACGCTAGGAGTCATCCAGAGAATGTACGCTAGGAGTCACATCCTGGCATCTTACAGAGAATGTACGCTAGGAGTCCTTCATCCTGGTACACACTTGGCATGAGTACAGAGAATGTACGCCAGTGTACCAGGAGGAGTCCTTCATCCTGGTACACTGGCACTGGTACAGAGAATGAACGCTAGGAGTCCTTCATTCCTGGTACATTGGCATGGTACAGAGAATGTACGCTAGGAGTCCTTCATCCTGGTACACTGGCATGGTACAGAGAATGTACGCTAGGAGTCCTTCATCCTGGTACACTGGCATGGTACAGAGAATGTACGCTAGGAGTCCTCATCCTGGTACACTGGCATGGTACAGAGAATGTACGCTAGGAGTCCTTCATCCTGGTACACTGGCATGGTACAGAGAATGTACACTAGGAGTCATTCATCCTGGTACACTGGCATGGTACAGAGAATGAACGCTAGGAGTCCTCATCCTGGTACATTGGCATGGTACAGAGAATGAACGCTGAGCTGTGAATGCCATAAAAAGCTGCCTGCTCACATTTTTTTTTTCTAATTTGAAGGCAAAGGTCACTTTGTAATATGTTACACCTTACACCCATATTTAGGCACAGTCATGACATTTATTCACATGGATCTGTGAATAATCTACAAGTCCAGCCTACTACAGCAGCACTGATCAGCACACTCATAGTTTATTGAATCTTCTTCCAAATTTCTAACAGAAACCCCGTATGGAGGTGGGGGCAGAAAGCTGGAGGGACAGTATGCAGGAGCCTGTCATTGCACCCCCCATTCACTGCTTGTGGGCAGCAAAATGCTTACAGTCTTCTGTGGATAAAAATAATGCACATTTTTTTTTCCTGCAAAATTGTGTATTATTTTTTTCTCATAGGTGAACTTAGCCTTTAAAGTTGAAGTTTAGGTATGGATGTTTTTGCATAGTTCAATATCTGACCAATCCCTGGGGAAGTTGGAAATCAATGAAGCAGGCACAGCGATTGCCACAAGCTTTGGGGTCCAGTGCCCAGTGGCTGTCCTGTGCTTGGTGAACAAAAGGAGCCACTTGCTTGGTACACCTACCATTTAGTTTCTATTTTCTCAATGAATGCAAAGCGATCTCTGATTGGACAAGATGAGATGGGTAGTGATGCTATAAGCGCCTCCTTGCCCAGTAAGAGAACACTTTACATTCATTGAGAGAAAGCAAATTGTTCTCTGAATTGAGCCCCTGCTGAGGGAGCGACCTTCTGTATTCACTGAGCAGCAGGAGCAGCTGCTCCCGATGGGACCCAAGAGGTAGCTATACAATGATTTCCAGCTTCCACAGGGATCAGCCAGGTATGGCACATGTATACTTAGGCCAGCCATAGACGGTTCAAATCTTGGCCGATTCAGCAGGAACCGGCCGAGATTCAAACCATGTATGGGCATGTTGAATGTACCCAAGTTGATTGATCGATCAAATTGGGGACAACCAGCCTGTCAGATTTTACATGTGATTATCACTAGCAGCAGTTATAGCCACCAGCAATAATCAGTGTTTTCTCCCAGTGGGAGAACACAATGGCCCGGCGGGAGGGATTCCCCTGCCAACACTGTGTCGACTCATAGTTTCAGGAAAGAAATTCGCTCAGTCTATGGCCTGCCAAACTGGACAAGTGCAATTGCAACCCCTATCAATGTCAATCGAAACGATGGGGTCCAAAGCAGCAACCTTGCCTATGGTCCCATTCTGCCCCAACCAATCCCTGCACAGTTTACCTGCTCAGGTCTTCGGTAATATAATGATGTGGCACTGCTCTCTGCAGCATGCTCTTGTGAGTCCAGGACAGGGGGTGGAGCCATGACTACCTGGGCTCACAGGAACTGGCTTAAATGACACTTTGATTCATTTAACACAGAAAGGGATTGACGCCGGATGAATTAGTCTGCAAGGACAGCGCCAAATCGATGGTGAGTATAGCAGCTGAAGCTGATTTTATTTTAAGGAAATGCCAGGGCCTGAATGTTTTAACGTTTTTTCCAAGTTGTGATTGTTCTCCATGCCTACCTTTTCAGGTGACAATCAGGAAGTGAAGAGTGGAGTCACATACAGAAATAAAACCTGAGAGAAGTTCCCAGCTCTATCCTAACCTTAATGTTTAAGCTAAAAAAAAACAAAAAAACCAAAACCAAGTACTGTATTTTTCGCTCCATAAGACGCACCTGACCATAAGACACGCCTAGGTTTTAGAGGAGAAAAACAAGAAAAAAAAATATTCTGAACCAATGGACTGCAGACACAGTACAGGGGATGACCAGAGACTGCGGACACAGTACAGGGAATGACCAGAGACTGTGGACACAGTACAGGGATGACCAGAGACTGCGGACACAGTACAGGGGATGACCAGAGACTGCGGACACAGTACAGGGAATGACCAGAGACTGCGGACACAGTACAGGAGATGACCAGAGACTGCGGACACAGTACAGGAGATGACCAGAGACTGCGGACACAGTACAGGGGATGACCAGAGACTGCGGACACAGTACAGGGGATGACCAGAGACTGCGGACACAGTACAGGGGATGACCAGAGACTGCGGACACAGTACAGGAGATGGCCAGAGACTGCGGACACAGTACAGGAGATGGCCAGAGACTGCGGACACAGTACAGGAGATGGACCAGAGACTGCGGACACAGTACAGGGGATGACCAGAGACTGCGGACACAGTACAGGGGATGACCAGAGACTGCGGACACAGTACAGGGGATGACCAGAGACTGCGGACACAGTACAGGGGATGACCAGAGACTGCGGACACAGTACAGGGACCAGAGATGACCCACCAGAGACTACGGACACAGTACAGGAGGAGATGGCCAGAGACTGCGGACACAGTACAGGGATGACAGGAGATGGCCAGAGACTGCGGACACAGTACAGGAGATGGCCAGAGACTGCGGACACAGTACAGGAGATGGCCAGAGACTGCGGACACAGTACAGGAGATGACCAGAGACTGCGGACACAGTACAGGAGATGACCAGAGACTGCGGACATAGTACAGGAGATGACCAGAGACTGCGGACATAGTACAGGAGATGACCAGAGACTGCGGACACAGTACAGGGAATGACCAGAGACTGTGGACACAGTACAGGGGGTGACCAGAGACTGCGGACCTTTGGGCAGGGAGGGGGGAGCGGGTATCTGAATTTGACAGGTACCCACTCCCACTTCCGCAGGAGTTGTCCTTCCTTCTTCCCGCGGCGGCTTCTGTGACACAGCCGGGTGCCCACTGCGCATGCGCGAGAAGCGCTGCGCTTTGTGAATGGCCCTTCCCGAGCCTTCTGGGACCTGCCATGTGTCCCAGAAGACACAGGACCATTCACAAAGCGCAGCGCTTCTCGCTCATGCGCAGTGGGCACCCGGCTGTCACAGAAGCCAGCGCGGGAAGACTGCAGCGATGGAGCGAGGAACAGGTAAGGTCCTGCAGGAGAGAAGAGCAGAGCGGCTGGCCCAATATTCTGACATGACGGCGGCAGAAATACCAGACTGGCTGCTTTACATTCGCTCCATAAGACACACTGACATTTTCCCCCCCCTTTTTTATAGAGCAAAAAATACGGTATGTGCAGCTTTTGAGAAAAATAACTGGTTTTGAGTAAAATAAGTTGGGTTTGAGTAACACAAATATCTTGGTGGAACTGCTACTGAATAGCTGAATTGGAGGAGATGTTAAGCCACCTACCTTGGTAGCAGAATATACAGTCAGCAAGGGGATGGGGTACATGCCACTAGCAGAGGAGATGTTCATAATGATGCCTTTGGATCTAAAAAAGAAAAATTAATTATATTTCTACAAAATAAGCCACAGACACCAGGGTTCCCCCAAGCTGCCTGGTATAAATATAAAAACAGTACATAGAGTAGAGGGGTTGGAAACCCGAAGACCTCTTGATTACATTACCAAAGTGGACTGGTTTGATAACAGCCTAGGCTTCAAGCTGAAGTTTAATCTGCCTGTATTTTGCATTTACTGGATCCTCCCTCACCCGCATCAACATGCCTGATGGTGGGGGGCCCCCCGCTGTCAAAATACAATAGCGGGGAGATACCTGCATCCACATCGCTTTATATCTGTGGGTTTTTTCATTCAACCTGCTGACTAAATGAAAAGAAGCCATACATGCAGCTTTAGACAGCTGATTGTATCCAAGTTGATCCATTGATACCAGTCCAGGCAGTGCCAGAAAGTTCTATGCCAGCATTGATCCAAGGATGCCAGTCCAGGCAGCGCCAGAAAGCTCCATGCCAGCATTGATCCAAGGATGCCAGTCCAGGCAGCGCCAGAAAGCTCCATGCCAGCATTTCTGAGGGTCCCTGTCTTAAGCCGGCCATACGTGGATCAAAATTTGGCTGGTTCAGCAGGGACTAGCCAAACGCCGATCCATGAATGGGCATGCTGATTGTACCCAAGTTGATCCATTGATGCCAGTCCAGGCAGCGCCAGAAAGCTCTATGTCAGCATTGATCCAAGGATGCCAGTCCAAGCAGCGCCAGAAAGCTCTATGCCAGCATTTCTGAGGGTCCCTGTCTTAAGCCGGCCATACGTGGATCAAAATTTGGCTGGTTCAGCAGGGACATGCCAAACGTCGATCCATGAATGGGCATGCTGATTGTATCCAAGTCGATCCATTGATGCCAGTCCAGGCAGTGCCAGAAAGCTCTATGTCCAGCATTGATCCAAGGATGCCAGTCCAGGCAGCGCCAGAAAGCTCTATGTCCAGCATTGATCCAAGGATGCCAGTCCAGGCAGCGCCAGAAAGCTCTATGCCAGCATTGATCCAAGGATGCCAGTCCAGGCAGTGCCAGAAAGCTCTATGCCAGCATTGATCCAAGGATGACAGTCCAGGCAGTGCCAGAAAGCTCTATGCCAGCATTCCTGAGGGTCCCTGCCTTAAGCCGGCCATACGTGGATCAAAATTTGGCTGGTTCAGCAGGGACCAGCCAAACGTCGATCCACGAATTGGTAAGCTGATTGTACCCTAGTCAATCCAATGATTGACTTGGGTACAACCAGTCTGTCTGATTTTTTCTACATGCATTCACTGCCGGCGGCTATAGCTGCTACCACTAATCATTGTGTTCTACCACCTCGGAAGGCTCCCTATGTCTCCCCCCCCCAACCGGCAGAACACAACAGTGCTGCGGGAGACACTTCCCCCATCAACACCAACTGTGATGATGGGAGAATCAAGACATTTTCTTTCCTTCCACCCATGGTGCAAGAAAAGAAAAGCAAGTCATCAATGGGCTTCCTTAGAGTGTATGGCACTGCTGTGTGTTTACATGTTGCCATTTTTAACATGGCTGAACAGCTGCAGCCTGGAAGCAGGTAATCCCTTAGGAATCTCCCACCCCCATTCGCTGTAATTCCCCCTAAGAATAGAAAGCTGTTCACTCTGTATTGATGACTCACAGACTTTCTTTTTTTTTTTTTAATTCTGTTCTAAAAAGAAAATCACCACAAGAGCATTGAGGAGAGCTGGAGGATTCCACGAAGCCGGTGAGTCACCCTCCGTCCTTATGAGTCACCTCCGATCGCTCCATCGTTACCAACATGGAGGCCGGGCAGATTAGTCACCAGAATGAATTTTTCAAAGAAAAGGATTCTCCCCTATAAATAATAATGAGGGCTTGTCTGGGTAGTGTTTATATTTGTGTGTCTGAGGCTCCCAGTGACTCACCTCTCCAGCATTCCGGGCAACACCAGGCGTGTCATCTGCAGGAGAGAAACAAGAGGACAGCCGTAAGAAATACAGGGTCCCACCGACTAAAAACACAAAGTGCGCCAACCCATAGCGACCAATCAGGACCCATCCTTCAAAAGAGCCAATGTCAAGGTCAAATATGATTGGATGCTGTGGGCTACTGCATTTTGCGCATCTATATTGCTCTTCATACGAAGTTATTAAATTAGCAGAGAGAGATCCCTGACCTCATCATCTGATATTCGCAGGATAGACACCTGACCTCATCACCTGACACTCCATTGACCTTGCAATGGGTTGATTTACTAAAAACTGGAGAGTGCAAAATCTGGTGCAGCTGTGCATGGTAACCAATCAGCTTCTAAAAAAAAACTGGAAGCTGGTTTCTATGCAAAGCTGCACCAGATTTTGCACTCTTCGGTTTTAGTAAATCAACTCATTGCAAGGTCAATGAAGTGTCAGGTGATGATGATGTCAAGTGTCTATCCTGCTGACACTTCATTGACCTTGCAATGAGTTGATTTACTAAAACCGAAGAGTGCAAAATCTGGTGCAGCTTTGCATAGAAATCGGCTTCCAGTTTTTTTTAGAAGCCGATTGGTTACCATGCAAAGCTGCACCAGATTTTGCACTCTTCGGTTTTAGTAAATCAACTCATTGCAAGGTCAATGGAGTGTCAGCAGGATAGACACCTGACCTCATCACCTGACACTCCATTGACCTTGCAAAGGGTTGATTTACTAAAACCGGAGAGTGCAAAATCTGGTGCAGCTGTGCATGGTAACCAATCAGCTTCTAAAAACAAAATGCAAAGCTGCACCAGATTTTGCACTCACTGGTTTAATAAATCAACCCTTTGCAAGGTCAATGAAGTGTCAAGTGATGAGGTCAGGTGTCTATCCTGCTAATATCAGAGAAAAAAGAAAAAAAATTGAAAGCCGATTTCTATGCACAGCTGCACCAGATTTTGCACTCTTCGGTTTTAGTAAATCTCCCCCACTGGGTTGTAAATAGGTACAATCCATGCACGTCACACTTTGCTGGGGAAGCAGTTGGCACTCTTGTCTTGCAATGCTGTGGTGCTGAACTGCATACCCATTTGGGACAATATCTGCATGGAGTTATCAGTTCTTCCCATTTTGGTGTAAATTTGCTGCAGAGGTCAGGGGCTCCTCCATGATACAAAAACATCAAATCGGGTTAGAGAGACCCTGTTGAATTCATTTTAAAACAACAAGATTTCCATATAATGCATTGCAAGTATTTCATGCATGTTATTTGCTTGTAAATGCTCCTTTAGGCATACATCCAAAAGCCATGAGACTGCTGCTGGGTGCTTCCATCTTGGATATGATGTTAGCAGCCCAGAGCGGTCAATGAAGTGACACTATAGTAGTGGTGGTCAACTTTCTTGATACAGATACAGTCAAACTATGGGCATGATACAACAGATGGCCAGAGACTATATACATAAACCAAGAGGTGGTCAGAGACCGCAGGCATGACGCAAGAGGTGGTCAGAGACCGCAGGCGTGACGCAGGAGATGGTCAGAGACCGCAGGCGTGACGCAGGAGATGGTCAGAGACCGCAGGCGTGACGCAGGAGATGGTCAGAGACCGCAGGCGTGACGCAGGAGAGGGTCAGAGACCGCAGGCGTGACGCAGGAGAGGGTCAGAGACCGCAGGCGTGACGCAGGAGAGGGTCAGAGACCGCAGGCGTGACGCAGGAGAGGGTCAGAGACCGCAGGCGTGACGCAGGAGAGGGTCAGAGACCGCAGGCGTGACGCAGGAGAGGGTCAGAGACCGCAGGCGTGACGCAGGAGAGGGTCAGAGACCGCAGGCGTGACGCAGGAGAGGGTCAGAGACCGCAGGCGTGACGCAGGAGAGGGTCAGAGACCGCAGGCGTGACGCAGGAGAGGGTCAGAGACCGCAGGCGTGACGCAGGAGAGGGTCAGAGACCGCAGGCGTGACGCAGGAGAGGGTCAGAGACCGCAGGCGTGACGCAGGAGAGGGTCAGAGACCGCAGGCGTGACGCAGGAGAGGGTCAGAGACCGCAGGCGTGACGCAGGAGAGGGTCGGAGACCGCAGGCGTGACGCAGGAGAGGGTCGGAGACCGCAGGCGTGACGCAGGAGAGGGTCAGAGACCGCAGATGTGATGCAGGAGATGGTCAGAGACCGCAGACGTGACGCAGGAGATGGTCAGAGACCGCAGACATGACGCAGGAGATGGTCAGAGACCGCAGACATGATAGAAGAGATGGTTAGAGACTGTGGACATGATATAAGATGGGCAAAGCCTACAAACATGCTGCAGGAGACTGTCAGACTGAAAATGCTATAGGGGTAAGAGCATAGGGACAAGTCTCAGACGTCATAGAATGGAGACATATTACATGAGACTGCTAGAAATCATCGCAATAAGAGGGCAACAGGGAAACAGTATTTATTGTCTGCAGGGGCCCAGAGGGCTGCATTTAAAGTGCCAAAGGGCAGCATGCAGCCCCAGGCTTCATGTTGGGTATCAGGGCTCTATAGTACTCCCCCAAGCTCCTGCCTCCTACAGCTACATAAATGGTCATGGTGAGGTAAGGTAATGGTCATGGTGAGGTAAGGTAATGGTCATGGTGGTGAGGGTCATGGTGAAGGTACTGCGCCAGGTGCTAGGAAATTAACTCTTCCTGGAGTAGTCAAATTCCTTAACAAGTTCGCAGGTACACTGCACTGAATAAAAAACATTTTAAACTGGTGTTAAACACAAAAACACACATTATATTGCAGATTACCAATTCTTAGATAGGACGACTGCAATAGTTTTCTTTTTTAAAGGCTCTCTTTATTTTCACCTGGCGATCTGGCCAGTAAATATTTTTCAACAGAACAAGCTGTCCTGCAGATGTAGCAGTTTTAATGATGGGATGTGAAAAGCCATTTACCACTGACAGGGGTGCTTACATTGATCAGCTTTTATTTATTTCTGTAAACCTTTACCCCTAAAGAAAAAAAAAACGGTTTGCTGTAACTGTAAAGTATTAGCTGGAGTTTGACTTCAATTTGTTAGTGTATTTAAATTTGCTAGTCCATCTAACACTGCCCTCCCCCAGACTGACAATGCTGCTGTCCTGGTGTCTCTGATGATCCTTCAACCAGAGTGGGGCGCTCTAATACAGGAGGTGTGTCATCGGCCAGATCACCAGGTGGAAACAGAGATGAAAAGCCTAAAATAGAAAACTAATGCAGCCACCACATCTAATGACCGGCAATCTGCAATATATTACATTTTTTGTTTGGGGTTTAATACTGCTTTAAAGCAGAGCTCCAATTAATTTACTTTTTATCATGCAGCGGGGCACGCCCCCACTGCACAGATCAGCTGCTTGTCTTTTCTAGGGGTGAGAACTAAGCTCATACTTACCTGACCTGCTGATGCTACGGAAAACAGCGCTCCCCCGTGGTCCAGTGGTGGACTGTTCCTGTCTGTGGAGTGCGCAGTGAGCGGTTGTCAGGAACAGTCCATTTACAAGACTGATGGTCCCTGGGTGAGGGGGGGATGTGCAGGAACCAAAAGGACTGGTCTTGTGTGGGAAGGATCGGCGGGTCAGGTGAGTATTTATCTTCAGTGTCCTCTCCCCTAGAAAAAAATTTTTCCCCAGATTTCAGCTTTAAGTTTACCCTTTATGATTAAAAAACCTCCATGATCTTCAGTCCAGTGACTTTGCGGAGGGTAAAATAATCCCTGTTTTTATGCAAATGTTTGCTAGAGATATAGAAGGGTACATAGAATCAGATCACCAGGTGAAAACAGAGGGATGAAAGCCTAAAAAAAGAAAACTAATGCAGCCACCACATCTAAATATTGCATATTTTTGGTTTTGTGTTTAATACCAGGGCAGCACAGTGGCTAAATGGTTAGCACTTTCGCCTGGCAGTACTCGGGTCATTGGTTCGAATTCCAGCCATGGCACCACCTGCCTAGAGTTTGCATGTTCTCCCTGTGCGGGTTTCCTCCTGTACTCCGGTTTCCTTCCACACTCCAAAGACATGCTGGTAGGTGAATTGGCTCCTGTCAAAATTGTCCCTAGTATGTGTATGTATGAATGTGAGTTAGGGACCTTAGATTGTACACCCCTTGAGGGTTAGGGACTGATGTGAATGTACAATATATATGTAAAGTGCTGCGTAAATTGGTGGCGCTATATAAGTACCTGAAATAAATAAAATAAAAAAATACCGCTTTAAGCTCATACACAGGTTATAAATTGACTCGTTTGGATCTACCCAGGGGCGGACTGACCATTTGGAAACTCAGGCACTGCCCGAGGGCCCGGGGTCATTAGGGGGCCCCATGAGATGCCCCTGGTACCTTTTTCATAGGCTTTTTTTGAGTTTGGGCAAGGGCACAGGGGCCCCATGATCCCATATTGCCCGGGGGCCCCATGAGTTGTCAGTCCGCCCCTGGATCTACCAGTGCAAAGGCTCTGTCTGACTGGGTACATTAGGTAGGTCCTCATATTATATTGCTTTGGTAAAGCTTGTGCAAAGATTGTGAGGTCAGATTATAATGTGTACATGAGCTTTACTCAAGTGCTGCCATACAATGGCATCAGAGGACTGAAAAAAAAAAAAAAAAAGTTTTGCACAGATCACTATAAACATCTAAATTCTCTGGGCTCCAAGGATGGTTTATATTAAAAAAAAAAACAAAAAAAAAAAACAAAAAAGAAAGTAAAATCAAAAAACAAAATCCATCTATGCGGTTCTTCGGCAAATGCGATAAAGGATAACCCTGGTTTGCAGATGCGAGCGTGAAGAGTTTTTTCGCTGCGCGGTAACACAATAACGCATTTGTTCAGGGAAAGCCAACAAATAGAAATCCCTACACAGCATACACCTACTTTCTCCTTGACTTTATAAATCGAGCAGATACAATGAGAACACCACGGCTTGACGTACATGTGTGCACGCTCGCTGCCTACATAGTATTTAAAGAGCGGAAAAGAACAAAATAAAAAAA